AGTGTTTTCAGCTTGTTTATTTTCATATAAAAAATATGGCATGCAGTTGCTTCAAACAAAGGTGTAAACATCATTCATTTAATCATAATTAATAATAACAATCACAATTTCAAAGGAATAATCGACAATTATGATTTTTGTCATAATCGTGCAGCCCTAATATATATATTACAATATTAAATATTATTATAATATTGCAATAATTTATTATAAATGAAAATATAATATTTCATTTAAATATTAATTTCATATTGAAATATTTACACTATTAATTGAATGAAATGAATCTGAATGTTACAATAAAATACATTAAACTTTACATTATACATAATACAAACTTTACATAATACATTAAAAGTTTAAAGCTGAGCCGACTTGTGGTAGGCTTATCTGAGACATAGGCGTGGGCAGCATAATTAAAATATTATAATGAGCAATTTTATATCTCATTAAAATTAAATATTACAGTAATATTAAATACTTATACTTTTTGAAATTAAAATAATTTATTTCATTATAATAATAATTTAACCTATATTTATTATTTTAATAAATAATTTAATTAAAAATAAAATTTAATTTTAGCAATTCAATATTTTACAAATTACAACATAACTAACATAATTAATGAATGAAGAAGTCTGGCATCAACAGCTGTCTTACACTGTGTAGCATTTAAGTATCGATATCGGAATTATATCGTATCGACCGAAATTAAGAAATATATCGTGATATCAATTTTGGCCATATCGTCCAGCCCCAAGTTAAAAACAAAAGATTTATAAAAGTTTTACATAATAAATAAAATTATTGGATGAGCCATATTCAAAATCATAAAATAGCCAATATACATACATACACCTGTGACAGCACATCAGTTGATTTGCTGCTACATCGCTGGCCGACCATAAACAACCAACCATTATACGGTCTCTACATCACATGCAGACACTGTAAACATGATGTGTCAAAACTAAATTACTCTCATTATAATCAAGGAAGCTGGAAGCGCCTGTCTACAACATAATTTGCAGCATAGACTGTAGCTTTAACATAAACATCATAGCAAGCTGACACATCTTCCACCACACATCATCTAGTCTACCATCAAGCCGTGCAGCACTACTGAGCTGGATGTTAACGCCAGGTATAAACAAGGTCTCTGATAACCAGCCAAGAGTAGAGATCAGACAACTAACCGCTGTCTGTCTCGCAGCCCTGCAGACAGACACGTCTACATAAACAGGAAATGCTGCGATGGAGGGGAACTGGCAACCAAGACAGATCATGACCTATGACCCCATCTAA